AACTTTGCGGGTGTCAGGAATGTTACTTTTTGAAATATGGCAACCCTATTCTATACAATACATTTGAAAAATGCTACCTAATTACATTATTGGAGCATCTATTTCCTAATCCCTTTCTCTTGAAAGTGCAGGTGGGATTTAGCCAAGTTGTTGCATGTACGCAACCAGCTGCACTAACACAATAGGGCTTTCCCCCCAACTCCTTCCACCACATGACACCCAAGCCCCCTAAGTCTGCTCTGGATGGTTGGGGGGGGACCTATAACAGGTTTAAGGGATGCACAGGGGCAGGAAAGGTGGAGACCATGACCTTGGCCCATGAATGCATATCTCACTTGGCACCATATTAAATTCCACTCTAGAGGTTTCTTTGGTTTTTGCATGATATTCCTGAGGTCCACATTTACTGGGCAGTAACACCCAGACGGATCCAATTAGCCTGAGTATTTCCACTTGTACTAAGGGACTTTCCCCCTCTCCGTGCCCTTCATCCTCTCAAAATCTGCTCTGAAGTGTTGAGGGAACCCCTAGAACAGATGTTGCAGAAGAAGGAGAGAGGGGAAGTCACATTCTGCAAGTGGTGCTGACAGAACTGGAACCTAGTGCTATGTTGGATACTACCCTTTGTGACTAGGCCAGAGCCAGATAATCTTTGATTTACTGCATGCAGTGTTGGCGGTTTCTATTATCAAATCCTATTTGTCCCCACCCTCAGTTCCCTCCTCCCTTTTCCATATTTTCCTGGCAACGATGAAGAGGTTCCTTAGCATGCAGCAGCTTGCAACTCATCTTTAACACTGGGTATATTTCTAATTATATATGAATAAACTAATTAACCGGCAGTTATACTTTTTTACATTTCATAACTATACCAAATGGTTCAATTTTATGTGTTAAGTTATAAATAATACATTTCATTTTCTTGAAGTAGTAAAGCAAGCTTAGGTTTGATGAGAGAGCGGCACAATGACGTTTGTGTTGCCCTCAAGAAATAAAGGTGGATTCCACCACCACCACCCTTGGGTTTAAAATTGCTGGAAATCTTTACGTGTCTGCTCCTCAGTAAATGACAGGTAGTCATAGTGGATGGACAAATACGTTTGATCCACACCCTTTGAAGGTTCTGACTTACTCAGAAGAAATGGTCAAAATAAATTTCCACATCCCAAGTTTGGTTCCCTCACCATAAAGAGAATGGTGAAGATCTATGTTTTTCTATCACCTTGCATGCAAAGACAGGCTCTGACAGATTGAGTGGACAAGACCAAGAGTGGGCTGTTTCTGCAAGTACTGTAGAAGGAAGTGAGGGGCAGACAGGGCCCATCAACCTGTCAAGGTAGCCCATCTCGGAGAAGGAAAACTCTGATCCTAAACCTCCGCTGCCTTGTGGGGTGTCTTTGTGTAACAAAAGAAATTCCCTGTGTTGCAAACACAGACAAACTTAAGAGGAGAACTAGCCCCGCTGTACATCGGGGAGGGCTGTGTGGAAAGTGTCTCTTCCTTTAAATTCCTAGGAGTTTATCTCAGTGAAGACCTTACTTGGAAAATAAAGACAACCCATGTGGTTAAGAAAGCCCAACAGGGACTCCATCTCCTCAGAGTATTGTAGAAGAACGATGTCAATCAACATTTGATTATCTCCTTCTACAAGTCAACAATAGAAAGTGTCCTTTCATACTGCATCACGGTGTGGTACGCTGGTTTGACATCATCTGATAGGAAGTGCCTACAGAGGGTGGTGATTACAGCACATGACATCATGGGCTGTCCCATGAATCCGCTGGATGAAATAGTGGAAGAACGTTGCCTCAGGAGACTGAGGAAAATTCTTAGGGATGATTCACACCCTGTCTGGCACTTTCTTGATCTCCTGCCCTCAGTCAGAAGATATAGAAGCATGATTAGTCACACCAACAGGGTAAAGAACAGCTTCTATCCATGGGCTGTTCGGCTGCTGAATGAAAAGATAACAACAGGGCAAAGGACTTTCGGGTTTGGTGGGTGTGCGTCAGTAAACGAGGGGAATTAAGACTAAGAGAGCTAGTGGGGGGTGCTCGTGTAATCTCACTGTATACAAGTTGTACAAGTGACAATAAAATATTTCAATTTCAATATATAACAACATTCCTGGGAGTAAGCACCACTGAGAACAGAAAGACTTGCTTCTGAATAAACAGGCACAGGATTGCCCTGCTGGTGAATATTGGCAGAGCATTTTAAAGTATGTTTTTACCATATTAGAGAAAGGAGGACTGCCAGTTTGAGTAGATTTACAGGAATTTATCATGTACTTAGGATCACAGAATGAGAACATCCCACACTTTCTCCTGAGCGTTGTTTTAGTGGAAAACAAAGTAGATACAATAAATCTTACATTTTCAACCATGCGTATTAAAATACGGACACCAACTCCCCCTCCAAAAATTGCAACCTTTCAATTCCTCTAAGATTTATTCATATTTATATGTGAAATAAAATATCAGTCTAGCTTTTTATTTTTTTTAAAAAAAAACACTGGGGATATGGTATCTATTTCAAAAGGACCTAATATATTTGTCACCCTCTTGTAGGGAGGTGGGGAGAAGGGGAAATGCAAAGAAATTATGTATGTCTGACTAACCAAGAACATTTCCAGATCAATTTATTTGCGAAATAACTAATAAGTCTGGTACAAAGTTATCCAGAGGCGTGCTTCGCGATGTCCACAGAATCAGTGTATAGCCGTTAGAATCCATTTAAATCAAATTACATGCATAAACTCATTATCTGCCATTGTTTATAGAAGCCTGGCTTTGGGGACTGAACAGACAGAAAAGCAAAATGTGAAACGTGGCTTTGAAGTGGGTACTTTTGTCCCAGCCCTCCTTGGTTTTGAGGTGTTCAAAAATACAGGAAATGTGGATGGCAATAAACTAGGACAAGCCTTTCCTCACATTACACCAAGTTATTAAAATCACACTGAAGTTGAAACAAGTTGATTGGTTTTCTTAGCATGCATACGAAAGATGCTATTGACTGAAAAGTAATAGCAGAATATTATTTTAAACTAGGGGTGCATAGGGGGCTATAAAACATTCCTTTAACTGGGCAAATGCTGTTGCATTCATTGACATATTTATCACATACAAAAAGTGGTTAAGAAGGTGCATTAATTGGACCTGAGTGATATTATCCATTTTGTCCCTCTCGTTTTGATCCACTGGCACAATAACAGTGCTGTACACATAAATATCATTTTCATAATTGTTTTGGAACTCATTTTGTCTCAGTTTCTAGTGTGGTGTGCAATTTCTCATTCTGCCTGAAAGGCTTTAATTGGTTTTTAATATAAATGGAGCCTGCTGGATTTCCTGGATTTACTTTTTTCTTCTTCATCTACTGCAAATCAGGACTCAATCTAAAAACAACACACTAATGCAAATGTGTCAGGATCCAGGGGTCCTGTGAATGGAAAATAAAAATAGGTGGTGTATCACCATGTAGGATTGCCATACGACTGGAATCTCCCAGACATAGTCGGGATTTCGCCATCGGAAACAGTGTCCAGGTGGAAATTGCAGAAATGTCCTAGAAAATCCAGGCACTTGGCAAGCCATGTTGGGTGTTGATTTTGGCGAATTTCCTTAAAAATAGCTCAAAAACTTTATTGAGATTTTGTAAAAAAGAAAAAAAAGAAAAAGCTATAACTATAACAACAACTTTTGTGTCCAGATTTTCACTTTTTGAAATATGACAACCTTAAACCTAAGCAATTTGAGTCCCATTGATTTCAAGGACAGTAAAACAGGTATTTAACTAACTTTAATTAATTAACGGGAATCAAAAGTATATATGATTTGCTGGATAGCACCTCCAAGATCTTAGAAATGTACAATTTCTTCTGCAAGCTTTCTGTGCAAGAGGATCTGTGAAAAGGCTTTCTCATATGCAATATATAATCTCTGGATGCACTTTGAATATTTCCATAGGCAAGATCCCCCTTACATAATTCCATTTCTGCAAGTACAATAGACTCTGGATTTCAGCCATTGTGTCTGATGGCTTGCTCCACCACTCCCCCCCCCCTTCTCTATAAATAGATTCTATATAGTGAATTACCTCATTCTCTCTCCTATGTACTTGTGTGTGTTAAAAAAAATCATTTATAAGAAGTGCTACATATGACGGATGCAAACTCCTACGACTGGTCACAAAATTCAGTCTGACACATATCCAGCGTATCATTTTCCACACGTTTTCCCTGTTTGGATAAAGAACTTAAATATTTTTTAAAAATAATTTTCAGTGATGAATGAATGAAGAATAAAAAATATATTTTAGCTAGTTATCTATCCACTTCCAGTATCAACACAAACCTCTCTTTCCCCATCTCTTATATTGTGTTTATTTTGGAACACCAGCTACCTCGCGAGCAGAATTTTCCCGAAGTTTCCTATAAATTGCACTGCTTGACTATTCTCAGATTGCTTTATTACTTTACAACCTCTGAACTTGTGCCTTCCCAACAGACTTCTCCATCGCTCTATAAATTTCAGTTCCCATAAGCTGTGCTATTCATCCTTTTCAGAAGGGGGCAGGGGAAAGCTTTGTGTATCCGCTTTTAAAGGGATCATTTGCATCAGTTTCTCGTTTGTTCTGGGTTTCTATTTTTAAAATAAAGAATCAATAAAATGAACTGGTTTACAACAACTTAGACTGCCAGGTCATGGACCAGATCCAGTGCCAAGATGCCTTTTTATTGCTCCTCCTCCCAGTCAGTGGCTCTGCTGAATTTATGACTCAAATGGGAGAGGAATAGAAGTCCACCTTTAATCTGCAGTGGTCAGTAAGGAGGCAAATAGGAAGTAAGAAACTTCAGCCACTGGGCAGCAATTGATGGAAAAGGAATCCAATATCCATATGGTGGGCATCATATAGCACCAAGGGTAGAGCACTTGCTAGATCAGTTGTCTGACATAGGCATAGAATTATAAAGTTGGAAAAGACCCTGCAATATGTGGAATATGGGGCTTTAGGGATCGAACCTGCAACCTTGGCGTTATTAGCACCACATTCTAGCCAACTGAGCTACCTGTGCTTTTTTCCAGCAGCACCCAGCACAGAGCACTAGCCTGTCAGGCAAAACCCCTATGAAGCTGTGCCGCTGATAGATAACCTATTGATACTCATCAGCAGTCTGAACACTGGGTCCATTCCCCTAGCATCCTCCTCCTCCACTCAAAGTCCATTTTTAAAAACAAACTTTTATTTTTATTTTTTTAACAAATGCAAATACAAGAACCATTCAACACTTGCCCACCTTTCATAAAACCTCACTGTGGAGCCTACATGCATTCTCAAAACATAAAGGGCCATTTCCAATCTGCATCTTGAGGTGGATCTTGCAGGAAATGCAGTCGTTGCTCACCTCTCTGTCCACTGAACACAAATTAGTGGCCACGAATAAGCCACTAGTCTAGCACTTAAGATATGTGGCTGTGAACATCTGGGAAATGTCCAAGGTGTCACTGCTAGATGGTGCCAAGTTTATTATGCAGCTAGATGGAGTTTCTTTCTTACTACAAGAGTCTAAAGGTAGTTTTCCACATTATTCGGGAGCAGAGAAAATGGGAATCCTAATTCTAGTCACAGGAGAGTTACAAACCTGATTCCTGAAAGGCCGCCTGCCCCCTCTATAGGCTTGCAAGATCACTTAGAATTTTCTAGGGAAATTCTATTAGTGCCACTGCAGCCTATAGAATACCATGGGGGGGGGGGCAAATTGGACATTTTCTGCTTTTTGCCCTTTACTGCGGAATACTCTGCCCTCTGCCATATGTGAGGCAGCAACGTCAGACATCTTGTAAAGACAACTTTTTGCCCAGGTTTTTCCTGACCTGTAAGATGAGAGTCTGTTGCATATGTTTGGATCCTCTGGATTTCTGTTTTATTTGCCTTTATGTGCTTTTATGTGTTCTGTGTTGCTGTTTCACTGGATTTTAGTTCTGTTTTTCTTTTTCATTTAATGTTTTAATAATATAGTGTTTTGTTTTTTTTAGACAGTAGAGATGTGTTAAATACAAAGTAGTATATAAATGCTTTAGAATTAAATAAATAAATAAATAAGGAGATACACCATTCTGAGTCCCAAACCAATGGAAAAGGGTCCCTGAAAATACAGGAATTGCCACTCCTGTTTTTGAAGTTAAGCACACCTAGGCTGCAATCCTAAACACACTTACTATACTACAGTATTCTGGTTTTTTGTTAGGGCGGTTTTACTTTTAAACATAACTGTAATGATGTTATCTTTTAAGAAACAAACACTGCTTATTACCTTGTTGTAACCCACCCTAAGATCTTATGGTGACAGACAGATAAAAAAATCTTACAATCAAATGAACAAGTAGGATCTCATTGGGATTGATTTCTGAGTAAATGTGTTTAGGATTGCACTTATCCACTGGGAGTCACAATGTGATTGTGTTTCGCCAATGAAAATCAGCACTCTACGTACAAAATCTCATCCTCTGAAGACAGATTCGTATGTAGCCAAAATAGTGCCATCCACAAACAAGCGAGATCTATCATCTTCAGCAGCCTCAAGGGAACCTCAAGATTTGTAGAAGACTGAAAAATATTTATAGGGGGGTTGGAGAGAAAATTAAGAGGAGGGAAATCCTTGCCGAAAATCAGCCCCAGGATGACTTAACATACGCAGTGGCTGCTGTTGCAGAATAGAAGGAACCAGTGGGGACAGAATGAGGTATCCTTTTGAAAAGTCATGGCTGGCTAGCTGGCTGAAACCTTATGAGGGACTTTCCAGACTCCAATTGTTTGTTGCTGCTTCCACCTGTACTTTTTGAACTGGTGAAGTTTTAAACTCAATCACACCCTTAAGCAATAAAGACACAGCAACAGACTGTCTCTCCTTAGTCATGGTCCATCAGGCATCCAATGATCACTGGCAACTTTCATGAGCTTTAAACAAATTTCTGTTGTTTCTAAATACTTGAGGAGCTGTTAAGAAAAATAAAATAAGTCATTACTTTTTTAAAAAAAAATTAAACCCCTGTAATGCTTCTAGGAAGGTTTTATCTTTCTGACATTAATGATAATCTCTTGTGTAATTAACTGTGGAGTGGTTATGCATGCAGTGTGCAGTCCATGACAAGCCTCATAGAAAATACATCAGTATTAGCCACAGGTGAATTCGTTTAGAAAGATTAATGACTGCACCTGAATTTTAATGTCTGAAAAGGGACGGAACACTGAATCCTTAATTAAAAAGTTGAATGAGTGGTATGGTTTGTTTAACATCACAAATTTCAGCCGGAGATTTTTATATTCAGACGAAGTCTGCAAAGAGAAACTTTCCTTCGAGCAGGGAAGAGTAAAGGTGAAAAGCAATCATGTTTTATGTGCTTTCCCTTATGTAAATCGATACATGGATCAGTTGCTTTGATAAGGATCAAATATGGTATAATTATGGCTCCTCTGTGTTTACAGTGAATGTTCAGGGGCTGGGGGGGGGCGGGCTCAAGGAACACATTGCTGCTCTGCTCCGCTACCAACAGAACATCAGATGATAAAGGCAGAGAAATTGACGAGTGATCTTATTCTTTCCTTAATGAGAGGCAGTTTTCACTTCATTATTATTTTGCCGAGTTTTTAATAAGGAGAAAGTAACCTTGAAAATTACCTCTGGAGTCCCATTCCCAGAAGATGGTTAACTTGCTTCTTTCAAACCTCTCTTTCAATTAGTGACTTAGTTTCAAGTTGTTAGCATTAAAGTTATTCATCTTAACAAAATCTAAAGTGAAAATCTATGGGATGAAATAGACTTACCTGCATGAAGAACACGTTAAGCTGGTTAACTTGAGATTCCTGACCCAACCGGGGTGTGGGGTGTGTGTGGAAACAGGACATTTGTCCCAATATTTTAAAAATCTTCTCACGGTCATTCCCAGTAAGTCTTAATCACAGAGAGTGCATTACATAAATGAGATAACTTGGTAACTTTTTGCTTTTTCAGTTTTCATAATAAGTCACACACACACACACACACACACACACACACACAAACAACATTCAGAACAAAAGAGATCCTTTGCAAAGCTTATTTGTCTGGTAAAACTGATCAACTGTTTTTTCTGGCTCTGTGACGTGAGTTTCCTGACCTGGAACAGATGCAGAAGGTCACCTCTCTGACTGTCTCTTGCTAACTGCTCTGAGTTACCCCAACTGTAGCTTGTTTTTAATGAGACCATTCTTACCAAACGGAAGATGCAAATAACTGCAACAGCCCAATCACACACAGCTTTTATCCTAGCTGCGTTTAGGACTGGTATATTCATTTTCTAAGACTAAAGTAATTCCAGTGATTGTTTTCCAATGCTATGAAGAAAAGAAATATATGGAAGAAACCAGACCATCAAAAACTGTACAAGCAAATTACCTAGGATGGTGAAACTGATGGCGGTGATTCTATGTGCAAATGTGATAGAGAAGGGATTTTTTAATGCTCCCTGGCTTAAAGATAAGAGACTCCTGTAGATGTTTACTGCAAGAGGAAGCATCTCTCTTGTTTCTGAACACAACACTTTTTGTAATAAAATGTCATTAGGACTAGTTCATTCAAAAAGACAACATCCTGTTATATTAAAAACTTTTAAAACTTACGATTTTTTAAAGCGATTGCTTCTGGCCATCTACCTATGTATTAGTGTATTTATCATAAGGAGATGTATGCTTCCAGTCCAAAGCATTGATCTAACTCAGCATACATGGAGTAGGCATGGCTGCATATTTTGTAGGGTCATTTTAAAAAGGTAACATTTCCTTTGATTTTCCAAGGCAAAGGGAGTGGGGTGCATATGTGGATCAAATACCCCACTTCCTCTCTGATGCATCTGATTGGCAGGCACAACACAAATTTGCAAATGCAGGTATGACGGCTTGGGTGGAATTCTGCTTCCAAAGATGTAGCTGTGTTCTGTAGCTGGATAGGTGTATTGATGGGAGGGAAACTATAGATACAACACAAATTTTCAAGCGCAGGTATGATGGCATAGGTGGAATTCTGCTTCCATAGATGTATTTGTGTTATAAACAATATTACAGTGACTGAAAGTAGTTTCGAATCTGCACCAAATATTGTGTAGCCTCTTTTTCAAGTCTTCATTTAGATTCCAGTCATGTCAAAACTAGCATGGCATCTAACTGCATCGGGGGGCATGCAGATACACAAGATATATATTTTACTTTGATGAACCTGTGGCCCTCCAGCGTTTGTTGGGCTCCAGCTCCCATCAGCCTCAGCAAGGATGGCCAAAAGCCAAGGGTGATGGAGTTGCAACCCAGCAAATCTGCAAGGCCGCAGTTTCCCTACACCTGCTATTCATGAATCTTTTCTCCCCATATATGCCTTCTGGGTGGTCAATAACCTGGAAATGTGTGGATACCAATTATTATCTTACTGCACACCAATAAGATTACACTTTACCTCAGTCAATACAATGCATATTGCTTACGCTCCATACTTGCTATATGTCTAGATCAGAAGCCAGTTTGACATTTTCCTCCAAGTCAGATTGATTAGTAATCTGGAGATATTTTGTGTCTATCCAGTTCACTTATTATTTGCTATCTGCAAAAACACCTGCTCTTAACTTGAAGCCAAATAAGATTGATTTGTAGGTGATGTGAGGTAGATGGTTCTGTTCTTGTGGCATGCGGGCAGGCTTCATGACCTTCAGGTTCATTTTAACTTAAAAATAAAAATTAATATTGATACATGGCTGCACCCCTGGAGAAAGTGGGAATTCTGTACAAAAAGAGATATGTGAAAGAAAAAATATTGTGTTGTAGAATTGAACTGCTTCGAATCCAGGAAGTTTTGGGGTTACTGGCTGTGATTGAGAAGTTAGGTGGTTGGACTGAAACGTATTTTAGTCCAATCAAACTGAAAGGAATACAACTGGCTAAAATTAAAATACCAGAGAATGTTACTTACCAAGCACATAGTTTGGGTAGGCTGCTATCTTGGAACCTTTTTTTTTTCTTTTCATCCCTTATGGGATTGAAGAGAGAAGGGGA